TGGACAGAGCTAGAGCCCATTCTACTAAGTGAAGTATCCCAAGAATGGAAAAACAAGCAGCATATGTACTCACCATCAAATTGGTATTAACTGATCAACACTTAAGTGCATATATAGTAGTTACGTTCATCGGGTATTGGGCAGATGGGAGGGGGGAGAAGAGGATAGGTATATTCACACCTAATGGGTGCGGTGCACCTCAGGGATGGACACGCTTGAAGCTCTGACTCAGGTGAGGCAAGGGCAATATACATAACCTAAACATTTGTACCCCCGTAATATGCCGAAACAAAAACAAATTTAAAAAAAGTTAAACAGATGGCAAGTTAGCAAATGAAATGATGTTTAACATCATACCTCATCATTGCTGTAAATTAAAACAGCAACAAGATCTCAGTACATACCTATTAGAATGGCAAAAATACAACACCAAATTCTGGTGTGAACGTAGAGAAACAGGAACTCTTTTTCATTGCTGATAGGAATGCAAAATGGTACAGTCACTCTGGAAGACATCAATAGTTTGTAAGTTTCTAAGAAAACTAAGCATACTTTTACCATATGATCCAGCAATCACACTCCTTGGTATTAACCCAAATGAATTGAAAACTCATGTCTACAACATATGGATATCTATACCAGCTTTATTCATAACTGCCAAGATTTGGAAGCAACCAACATGTCCTTTAATAGGTGAATAGATAAACTGTGGTACATCCAGACATAGTGTGTTAACTAAGAAAAAATGAGCTATCAAGCCATGAGAAGACATGTAAATGCATACCACTAAGTGAAAGATGCCAATCTGAAAAAAGGCCACATGCTGTATGGCATTCTGGAAAAGGCAAAGCTATAAAGACAGTAAAAAGATCAGTAGTTGCCACAGGTTGGAGACAGGGAGGGAAGGATGAATAGGTATAGAACAAAGGATTTTTAGAGCATGTTATTCTGTATGACACTTAACTGGTGGATACATGTCATTACACATTGTCAAAACCCGTAGAACGTACGCCACCAGGAATGAACCCTAATGTAAATTATGGACTGTTGGTGATAATGATGTTTAAAGGTAGATTCATCAAGTATGACAAATGTGCCACTCTGGGGCAGGCTGTAGATAGTGGGGGAGGTTGTATGTGTATGGGGACAGGTGTTACATGGGAACTCTGGACTTCCTGGTCAAATTTTCTGTGAACCTAAAACTACTCTAAAAAATAGCATTTATTAATTTTAAAAATGAACAGAGCATCATTTGTGCAACCTAATATATGTGTAATTGGAGTCTCTAATGGAGGGGAAGGAATAGAAAAACTATTTGAAGAAACAATGACTCAAATTTTCCAAATTTGAGGAAAACTATAAAGTCACAGATCTGAGAAGTTCAATAAGCTCCAAACACAAGAAGCATAAGGAAAATGACAAGACACAACATAATCAAATTGCTGGAAAACAGTGGCAAACAAAAAAGTCTTTTTAAAAATGTTATTTTGCTATGTTTATTTTTATTTTGTTTATAATTGACACATAATAATTGTGTATGTCTATGGGGGTACAATGTGAGGCTTCAATACACATACACATTATATAATGATCAAATCAAGGTAGTTAGCATGTCTATTACCTCAAACCTTTATCATTTGTTTGTGGTAATATCTTTCAAGACACTCTTCTCTAGCTATCTTGAAATATATAAACATTATTATTAGCTCTAGCCACCCTACTATATAATTAAACACCCCAACTGAGATCTTTCCTCTTCTTGGTTAAGTTTATTCCTAAGTATCTTATGTTTTTGTAGGTATTGTAAATAGAATGTTTTTCTTGATTTCTTTTTTAGAGAGTTCACTATTAGCTTACAGAAATGCCACTGATTTTTGTGTATCAATTTTGTATCCTGAAACTTTACTGAATTTGTTTTTTGGTAACCAAAATAGCATGATACTGGCATAAAAACAGACACATAGACTAATAAAGCAGAATAGAGAGCCTAGAAATAAATTCACACAGCTATAGACAACTGATTTTTAATAAAGATGCCAACAATACACATTGGGGAAAAGAAAGTCTCTTCAATAAATTATTCTGGAAAAATTGGATATCCACATGCAGAAGAATGAGACTAGATCCATACCTCTCACCACATACAAAAATTGATACAAAATGGATTAAAGATTTAAATGTAAAACCCCAAACTATGAAACTACTAGAAGAAAATATAGGGTAAATGCTTCATGACATTGTGCTGGGCAAGCATTTTTCAAATAAGACTCCAAAAGCAGGCAACAAAAGCAAAAATGGACAAATGAGATTGCACCAAACTAAAAAGCATTTGTAAAGCAAAGGAAATCATTAACAGAGTTAAGAGACAACCTATAGTGTGTGAGAAAACATTTTCAAACTATACATCTGAAAAGGGATTAATATCCAGAAGATATAAGGAACTTAGCAAAAAAAAAAAACTTGATTAAAAAATGGGCAAAAGACTTAGTAGACATTTCTCGAAAGAAGACATACAAATGGCTAACAAGTATATGAAAAAATGCTCGACATCATTAATCATAAGGGAAATGCAAATGAAAATCATAATTAGAAACCACATCACTCCAGTTAGAATGGCAATTAACAAAAAGCAAAAGAAAACAAGTGTTAGTAGCTAGGATGTGGAGAGAGGAACACTTACACACTGTTGGTGGGATTGTAAATTAGTACAGCCATTATGGAAAACAGGATGGAGTTCCTCAAAAAACTAAAAATAGAACTACCATATGATTCAGCAATCCCACTACTGGGTATATGTCCAAAGGAAATGAAATCAGTACACTGAAGAGATAACAGCACTCTGATGTTTATACACCACTGTTTAAAATAGCCAAGATACAGAATCAACCTAAGTGTCCATCAGTGGATAAACAGATAAAGAAAATTTGGTATATACACACAATGGGATACTATTTAGCCATAAAAAGAATGAAATCCTGTCATTTGCCACAACATAGATGAACCTGGAGGACACCATGTTAAGTGAAATAAGCCAGACACAGAAAGACAAACACTGTATGATCTGACTCATATATGGAATCTTAAAAAAATTGATATCATAGAAGCAGAGAGCAGAACAGTGGTTGCCAGAGACTGGGGAGGGGAGGAGGGAGAGAGATGGAGAGAGATTGGTCAGTGGGTACAAAGTTACTATTGACAGGAAGAATAAATTCTGATGTTCTATTGCAAAGTAAGGTGACTATGGTTAACAGTAAAATATTGTGTATTACAAAATAGCTAACATTACAAAATGGCTAAAAGAGAGGCTTTTGAGTATTCTCAACACAAAGAAATGATAAATGTGTGAGATGATGAATACACTACTCTGATTGGATCAATTATGCATAGATATATATCAAAACATCAAATTATAACCCATAAATATGTATAATTACAATGTGTCAATTAAAAATTTCTTAATTAAAGAAAAAGTTTTTAAAAAGCAAGTAGAATGGCAGTTGCCAAGGGCTGTGGGCTGGAGGAAATGGAGAGTTATTACTTAATGGGATGAGCGTTTCAGTTTTACAAGATGGAAAGCATTCCAGAGACGATCGTGATGGTTGCACAACATCATGAATGTACTTAACGCCACTGAACCATACACTTTAAAATGGTAAAATATACGTGACATATATTTTACTACAATTTTTAAAAATTGGGAAAAAAGTGGATGAGCCTTCGACACCAGATGGTAATGGAAGCTGAGTCAGAGTGAACACAGCAAAGGGCCTAAGACTGAACTTGAGGCATCAGCAGTCAGAGGCTGGGTAGGGAGGAATGAGCTTGGGACAAGGTCAAGCATGTGGTTCTGGAGGTGGGAGGAAACCTAGGAGAGCACAGTTTCATGGAAACCAAAGGAGGACAGTATTTTAAGGAAGAAGAGGCCCAGTGTCAAATGCTGCTGAGATTGCAAACGAAGTTGGAAATTCCCACAAGATTTAATGGCGTGGTGGTCACTGGTGACCTCCAGACTGTCTCCCTTCCTGTCTGGTGACCGACCCTTCATGACCGTAAACTCCTTGAGAGCAGCACCTTGAACAGAGCTCTGCCTCCTCCTGTGATGCCTTTCACTTAGGTACCCAATAGATATTTATTATATAGTGAACTCCATTGATCCACTTGAAGCTCTAATAAGGTATTGAGTGTATTTTGGGAGGGTGATAGAATTCCGTATTCTGATTGTGTTGGCAGCTCTACAAATCTATAAATGTGTAAAAACTCATAGAACTGTACACCTCAAATGAATCCACTTTATTATTTCTTAATTGAAAAAAATTTTAAAATAGTAATGGCAAGATTTTTTCTTACAAGGTGGTGGGCTCTTAGGTATTTATTGCAAAATGATTCTTTAAATCTTATTTGTATTTTCTAAATAGTCCTATGTATTTACCCAAGATTTAATAAAAGTATTGAATATTGAATAAAACACCTCCAGTTTTAAGCAAGGCATTTAGGAGAAATACAGAAAAGGTGGTAGGAAATCTATGGAAATACATGCATAATTTATGTCAATACCAAGAGAAATGGAAAAGAGTAACATAAAATCTATATTGTCTCATTTTTTTCACAGACAGGAATGGGTCACTTGCAAGTAACGAAAGATGGACTTCGCCTGGAAGGGGAATCAGAATTTTTATTCCCACTATATGCCAAAGAAATATGTTCCAGAGTGGTAAGAAAATGATGAAAGATTTAAATAATATGTGTTTTATGAAAAATAAATGAGGATCGATGCTAAAATTATTAGTAAAATGTTAACTTTTATTATCATGCTAGTTATTTTCTAACAATGCAAAAACAAGTATTAAGGTCACACCATTGGATAAAACATTAGATGCTGGTAGATTCATCTGCCTCCACAAAGCAAGTAGAGAATTCTAACATCCTAGACAGAGCTCCCGAGGGCTCTTGAAACTTCTTTTCTTCTGAAAAATCACATAATTGCCTACCACTTTGGAAGATATTTGGTTTCCTCTGAGTGAACCATAAACCCACCAGCACCCAACAGCCAAATTGCAGCATTCCTTTTGAAGGAGATTGTTTATATAAAAGCAATCTCCTATAAAACAAAACACCCCATCAGAATTACAGTAACCCAGAAAGCACTGACATGCTTATAAAGCCACTTTATCTTCAATAGAAAGTATCAAAAAAAAGCACCAAAAATTTTTAAAAGCTTATTTGAAATTGTGAGAAGCCTTTGTGTTTTGAAAATAAGTAACGTGGTATTTCTTATAGAAAGGCTAACCATTCTCTGATTTATGTCATGTCTTAAAATATGTCATGTCCTGGACCTAAATAACAAAAAGTGGTATTTTAATTCCTTGGAAAAGAAAAAGCACTGGTTAAAACTTGATCGTATTAGATGTTTACCTTGAGAACTGAGTTGGCACATTATAACTAGTGCATGCAAGCACTATAAACCCAAGGAATTATTATGTTTTATTTTGAAAAGTTAATACCTTTAATCCCTTAACATAATTTAATTCATGACTTTTTAATAGTTTTAGCCACAAATTTATAGGATCCCAGGATCTGTGACTATGGAGAAATAATTTCATACAAAGCCTAAGTTTCTATGGAAATAAAAGATATAATCATTTTAAATAGTACATATTTTGCTAATCTTGTACATCTCTTTCTAGGACTCATCTCTGCTTCTACAGTCCACTCAGAATGTGACCCTGAACGCGCGCAACTCAGAAGGGGAGGTCACGGGCAGAGTAACAGTGGGTGAGTCCAGCTTCATCACGGTGCTTTGCCTGCATGTGGTCCAGGAATGGCGCTAAGTGGATAGATTGTTTTTTCTTCTAAAGAATCCAAAGCTATTTATGAACAAAGTATGAATTTCCTAAATATCATGCCGGGTTGACCATGGAGAATAGTTTGTACCACAGGATGGGGAGGGCAGGGGATGCGGAGACAGCCTGAAGCGTTTCAATTAACGTTATTTGGGTTCCGAGAAATAGAGGGCCATCAGGCTAGTAAAAGAAACAAAATGTTTCTTTTGGGACACAAAAGAATCTGGCCTCCGGAGAACGGAGTGGTCTCTTGGCTGAGAGCCGAAAGGATATTCAGAACCTCTCTGCCTCTCTGTCTCTGGATAAGATGGCTTATCCAGGGGGGTCCACAGTGGAAAAGGTTTCAAGTCAGCATGGCCTTAAGGGACTTTTGGTCATGGGGAGGATCATGAATGGGAAACAAACCAAGATTTAGCAACCAAGACAGATGGCAGAGCTTCAGCAGAGCAGGCCAGGAATAAGAAAAAGCAATTGCTGTGGACAGCCAGACTTCTAAGGTGGAACTAGATAATACAGGATTACACCAAAATGTCAGTAGGGCTAACTTAACCATGGTTTTGTGCTTCTAGTACTTTCTCTATGATGCCATATTTGTAGCAGCAGAATATGTTTCCTTTTTCTAAAGGACTTTGTGATGTTTATTTTTAAATGAAAGATATCATGAGGGAAAAAAGGTTGGTAATGAGACATACTGTATGTAAGGAAGAATTTGGTTGTATTTTCACTAGAAAAACCCTTAAGCTAGTTTCACACACTGAATTAATCAGATCGTAAGCCATTAATTTTTCCTTCTTTGTACCAGAGCCTTTCATTAAAAACCATATTCTTCAGATGGGCTCTTTCATTATCAACAAGGTGGAATTGGAATTTTATTTCTTAAAGATCTCTATTGCAAAAGATAATTACTTTTTCAGCTCTGATCAACGTCCAAGTAGGTTATAAAACATAGAATATTAATAACTGTTAAAAGATTAATTACAAACTCAGTAATTACGGGCTTGCTAGCACTTGGAGAACAGTCTAGTTTCCTCTGAAGTAGAAAGCATATTTAAATTTAAACATTAAGTGCCTATTTTTTTATATAAAATGGAGATGGAGTGTTATTCGTCTCCCTGCCTCTGCTCAGGTAGTTCCCTCTACCTGGATGCCTCGTTCTCCCTTCATCAGCTGAAGGGGTTAACTTGGAGGTGAAAGTGAAACAGAAGGAAAGGAGGCATAAAGAAGACAAAAATTTCGTAGGGGAAGGGGAAGGGCAAACACACGAGGGTGTTCTTCCACGGTGTTTTCCCGTGGAGTAAGAGGTGAGGATCCCTTCTGTGAATAATGGCGAAGAAGAGATTCAAGGTATGATTTCTTCTGGGTTAACTTTAACCACTAAAGTGAGCCATTTGTAATATGGTCTTTCACAAATCTCACATTTCGAATTGCAAGATCCTTAGTTGGTTAATAAGTGAAAGAATACAAGTTTAATTATGAATAGGAGACATTATTTGGGACAAGTTTTAAAAATCTTAGAAAATAAACTTATACTTTATTCATATATATATTTGATATAGATTAACATATGTTTAACATAAATAAATTTTAATAATACAATAGATATAGGCTTAAAACTTGAAAAGTTTAACCATAGAATAAAAATGACCTAATAGGTACAATGTACACTATTCAGGTGACGGGCCCAGCAAAAGGGCAGACTTCACGCTGTACAATACATCCATGAAACAAAACTGCATTGGTACCCCCTAAATCTATTGAAATAAGAAATAAAAACTTTACAAAATAAAAAAACAAAAGTATTAGCAACAAATCCTAAATGCTTAGTTATTTGATATTGCTGGGTGACATGGCATGTGTAAAACAGAGACTTTTACACTGCTTTTAGTGAATACTTTATAATAATCTGTTTTAATGAATCCATCAGGTCCCCAAATGGTACAAGTCCAGAGTCAACAGTTTCAGATCAGCTCCAAAGATGGCAAGCCGCTGTTTACGGCTGACGAAAAGGAAGTTGTGGTTGGTACAGATAAACTTCGAGTAACTGGTATGTAGAATTTTTGACAAAAACAATATCCCAGAGAGCAAACTTCTGCAAAAGCAAATGTACTTTTGGCAAGTTTACCTTGGAATTTTTCAGGCAGACAAGGGAATTTGAATTTGTTGACTTTTCTGGTGGCATTTCTATTGCAGTTCTTTGATATTTTCCCAGAAGAATGAAATCCTTCTCATAAATCTTTGTCCACTCTCTTCCTTCCGCCACCTTGTTACCGTTTGTCTCTTTCCAAGCGAATAACTCAAAGGCTTATCATATTTCTCCATCATCTCCACAATTCAAGTATCTGTTTTCCAAGTTTCTTTTATGCCCATCCTATCAGGTAAGTGGATTCCCTGCGTTTCTACAAAAAAAAAAAACTTTTCTCTTCTGGAACTAAAGATTGAATAGGGTTCAAAATAGACTCATTTGGAAAAACCTGAGGCAAGATGGCTGACTAGAGACACCAGTTGCCAGATTGTCTCAGAAAGAAGGAAAAGTTTTAGATGAAAAAAAAAAAAACGTAGCTCAGGTAGAATTCTGAGGAAAACGTGCTGGAATGTACCAGAGATTTCATGGGAAGAAGTTGCAGAGCAGAACAAGAAGGAGCAAGATTTCGTGAGAAATCAACCCCCAAAGGCCGCCGCTGGCATCTCGGGGGCTTCAGGCTGGGGGGCAGAGGCAGCACCAAGCGAACCACAGTGGAGCCACGTGAAACCGCCCGTGCCTGAGCCCCAGCCCAGCCCTGGGCCCCAGATGAGCAAGGCTGCCACCCCTGCCTTGCACCGCCAGCAGACAGCCGACACCAAGCAAGCTGCGAGCAAGCCTCTCTGTCCAGGAAAGTGTCCCACGTGGCCGCCGGCCAGAGTTGGTGCGGAATCTGGCCGCTGACGCTGGAAGAGTTTATCCTGAAGCCACCATTAGAAGGAGACCTCAAGAGAAACTTGGCACGTGTGGGCTCAAAGGGAAAGATACCAGTTGAAAGAGAGTAGTTTTAGGTTTACAAAAAAAAAAAAAAAAAATTGAAGGTAACCTGAACTAGGTGGTAGCAATGGCCATAGAGGAAAGTGAATTATTCCAATTTAAGGTCTGACAGATAGAGACTTGCCCATGGACCAAATGGTAGCAGGCATTTAGGGCAGAGAATCAAAGATGATATTGCTTTGGGTGATGGCATTGCCTCTGGGTAATGGAGAGGCCTGAGGAGGAGAAGACACGTGCAGGGCAGAGAGCGTCCACAGTTAATGTTTTGAACACACAAGCTGAAGATCGCAGTCAAACAGCCATGCACATGGACCACGTCAGCTATCTGGTGTGCGAGCTGTCTATCGCCCAGAGCAGAAGTCTAGACTGGAGATACAAACATGGACATCGCCAACCAACTGGGCTCTGAAGAATGCCTACATTAGAGGGCAAATAGAGAAAGAGTAGCCACCAAAGGAGATGAGAAGAGACAGACAATGTGGTGTCAGGAGTAGCACCAGAGGCATCTTCTGGTGTCAAAAGAGAATATGTTCCCAGAACTTGGCCCAGGAAAGATGACAGAAATTGCCATTGGATTCATCATCATGGAGGTCATCGTTATCTTAAGGAGAGCGTTTGTCACTGGAATATTAGAGGCAAAAGGCAGTTTGAAGTGGTTACAGCGGAACAGGACCGAGGTAGTAGAGACATTATGTGGGAACGTTGTGTGGAAGTTCGGCCGTGAAGGGGAGCAGTGAAATTGTTTGGCATTACTGGAAAAGCTCTTATCAGTCCACAGATGTTCAAGGAATATGTGGGGTGAATCCTAATAAATAGTTATCAGTGTAAATGCAAAAATGTAACAAATGTCCGAGTCCATATTATCCATTATTTGAACGCAAGTATTAATATTGAATTCTATGTATTTGTATAATGGAAGGGACCTAGAAACAGCAGCACGTGGAAAGAATGGAGCAGCTTGGAGCAATTCACCATTCAGTTGTTGAGCTCAGTCCAAGGACACCATGACTGTCGGGCCACTTCCCATGAGCTTGGAACTTTTCAACTCCCTCATCACCATTTCAGTTCGCCTTGTAGCACAGTCTTACTGCAGACCTCCACGGGAGTATCACTCCACATAGAATGCTCTAGAATCTAGTAGAGAAGAAGGTGTCATTCAAATACCACTGCTTCATAGTAGAGATAGCCGGTCCATTTACTATGTCTTAATTTCAGTGACACATTCTTAAAAAAAAAATAAACGTAAGACTGGGCTGTCTTTTATTTTCCTTTTTGGTCATACTTTCCTGTAAATAATGCATGTTATACAGGGTCATTTTAGTGCATGATTTATAATTATATAATATAATATAATACTTTATAGTAGAACTTTTTTCCCTGCCTAAAATTTAGATTCTACGACCTCGACTAATATGTCCTATTGTACACAAGGAACAGGTGTTATGCCAATTATATTTTTTATATCATCCTGGTTGGGAATATTTAAATATGAGTACAAACGTAAAGAAAACGCAATTAGAGTGAAGATAAAAAACCATTTACTGAGAATCATTTTATGAAACCATTTAGGAAAAATTCCATTTTATTATATGCAAATAAGTTCTAAGGAGTATTTTCTTTGCGGTGAATAGTAATGATGTAATCAAAATCATAGATTATAGTTTGTGTATTTATAATTTCAGTAATACATAAACGGCTGCTCTTTTTAAAGATAATACATACCGGTTTATAGATTTTATATCTGCCTATAAATACATTCCATAATCACATGTCAATATAATATCACTAATTATGGTCATAGTAGAAGGCAAATAATTGGCATGCATTTAAAAACTAGTGAGTTATATATCCCTGTAAAATAGTGCCACCGAAACTCTTTGAATAATTTCAGCTCTTAGTGGAAAAAAAATTGAAGCTGTTGTGAAGGTTGATTATATGGACTGGGTCATTCTTGTCACACCCAATCAAACTGGAGTTGAGGGGCTGGGGGCAGAAGCACCTGCTCCAACACCTAGTGTCCTGCAGGCCCAGCTGCTGAAGTGGCCCCGCCGTCACCTTAAGACCAGGTTTGCCCAGTGGCTGTGGAAAGACCTGCCTGTGTCACTCCCCTAGTCCCCAAACACTTCTCTGATGCCAATGAGCTTTATTAGAAATCAATACATAACATTTCTCTTTCTAGTAAGAACGCCCACAACTTTCTCTTTGTTCTTCAATCATACCAAAAACCGCCCAGGTCTATGTGTATGCCCTGAATTGCAATTCTGCAATTCCCGAATAAAAGTTTTAATTTAGAGGTCTGTCTTTATATTCATTTTGACTTTGACACCGTGCTCAAATAAAAAATCACCCATACAAGTGGAATACGTTGCAATTTCTAGCTTTGTTTTATAAAGAGTGTATGTTATAGAGAGCACAATGTGTTGACAGTTTTTTTCTCAGCCGTCATATTATTTTCTTTATATAAAAATAGAGAAAATAATTGCATAAAAGTTTATAGCCTGCATTCCTTTTCTTTCTATTATCTTAGCTATGGAAAGCAAGCATTATTTTTTGATGACTGCTAGAACTCACGCTAGGTTCCCCATACCAAAGCACTACTCCTGTTTCAAACATTGCTGCTATTAATTCATAAGCCACAACAAATCTACTTGTATAAAACAATGCCTAGGGCTGGGCGCGGTGGCTCACGCCTGTAATCCTAGCACTCTGGGAGGCCGAGGCAGGCGGATTGTCTGAGCTCAGGAGTTTGAAACCAGCCTGAACAAGAGCGAGACCCCGTCTCTACTAAAATTAGAAAGAAATTAATTGAACAACTAAAAATATACAGAAAAAATTAGCCGGGCATGGTGGTGCATGCCTGTAGTCCCAGCTACTCGGGAGGCTGAGCCA